TTATATTCCATAGAATGTGTTTCAATGTTTTACTCAAGATTTTATTAATGCATACATAGCTTCAACAATATATAATATTTTATAATCCAACACCATCTTAAATAATCTATACCGTAGTGCACTTCTAATAACGGAAAGTCAATAAGAGCGCATGGAAATCTTTTATTATCGTTAATATGTTATTTTATGTATTTTGTATTAGACGTTATACACCAAGAACTGTTCTGTTTAGCTTAATTTCAGAAAGCATAGCTTATTTGTAAATGTAATGTCTCTCAGCAAAGATAATAACAGATGTCTAAATGATAAATTATTTATATTCACTTTGTTTGTTGTTTTTTTCATATTCTTATCTGTTCAATTTATAGAAATGTCTTGCAGTGTAATAATATTTGGTAATTTACGCCTGTTTTAACGATGACTTTCGTAGGCTGAGTCGTCTTAACAAAAGCATTATATAGTATATGTATTACCAAGGAACAAATTGTTCTGTGTTATTTTTGTGTTGATTCTGCTGCTGCTGTTGTTTTTGTGCGTGCGTGCCTGCGTGCACGCGCGCGCGTGCGTGCATGTTTTTGTGTGTGTGTCCTGGTGGCAATTTATTTTCAAGTGCTCTTCTGCAAACTACATAACTTATGATTAACTGTATAAATAAATGATGCAAAATTATATATATTTTAACCATTATATAACTGCACTACACAAAGTTGAAACATATTTATTTAAAATAAAACATTTTCTTTCGGCGCGCTATTGTCTATTGTTTGTTTGCTAAAGACGAAATTATATCTTTTATCCATTATTGCTGTAAGCAAATAACAAAATGTATTTGTCATGAAACAGTGTGAGTAATCGTCAATTGGACTACATCGGTCATTTTGCATTTTCCCTTCAAAATGGTAACACATAATTGAAAAATAACACTGCTATATATCTAAGTTTGAATAATACACACTTCTGCTTGGGTTGTTATTTATATTATCTTTAATGAAGACAAAAGAGGAAAATGCTGCTTTGATAGCCTCTGATCAGTTCAATAAAATAATATGAACACTTCTCCGGATGTTTCAAAATTAAAAATTTCAACATTTTTGTGTTCTGCTTAAGCCGGTGCTAGGGGGTGTGGACGGTAACTTGCAATTTCCATTAATGTCCATGAACAGGCTCAAACCAACCCTGCAATATTTTACAATTTTGCCGTGTTGGACTTTCTTTAGGGATTCTGTTTTTCTCTATTTTATATCAAAGACGGATAACTGTTTATGAGTTGTGAGGTTTTAACAAGCTTTAATAAGCTGTCTAACAAGAATTTTAAAAAACATCCTCTTTAGAGAAAGTCTCACTTTTTCATTGCTTTGTCTTTGTAACACTAATCAACGGTCACCATGATTGTGCAATTATAAAAGCGAGTTCAGTAACGCCGAAAGGAGTTAATATAGTTATGATGTTCCTCAAGGTGGCCATTTGTTTTAAATGTTAAAATTTGCAAACTCCTTATAATGTAGAAAGATTGACACTATATTTCCATGTCAATTAGCAATGGGAATCGTGTTGATATACATAAAACATGTCCAGAGCTAAACAAATTACGGTGTTTCACGAAATATTATATATATAAAACACTATTAAAATAATGGGACGATTTTTGAAAGCTTATAAAAGCAAAAACAGGTGAAGCTGGGAATATATATATAACTGTTGTAAGACATGAACGTACAGTATTTAGAAAAACAGGCGTACACTAATTGCCAGTTCATCAGATTGGAGCTAAGAAAATTAGGAAGGTATAAGAATAAGAGACGAGGATCTGCGCATTGCGTATCTGTAATGTTTTCCTTTTGTACCCCGCTTGTAATGCTATTATTAGGTTATTGCATTATAAGAAAGTAAAATAAAATGAAATAATTTATCACCACTTGTTAATATAACGGTCTTGTATGTGTAGCCAACAAATTTTCCTTTAGATATTATTTTGCTTATTGGCCTGTGCAATACATTGTTTACATATAATTGATATAAACTTTTCAAAGAACAAGTCGTCACACTTCTATCAAAATGATGTTTTTGAATTTTATATTGAAAAAAGTGATAAAGTTTATAGTTTTTATACATTTGCAGACATGATATTTCTTGTTTTATCATTCTGACATGAGAGTTTTCTATTGTTCAGTTCATACTGATGTGATATGCTTGTGTTGAAGAATCGTGTGATGGATTGGTAATTTCTAAAAGAAAACACTTGGATAGCATCTTTTATAAAACTGCATAAATAGCCTTCAAATACGTTCTAATTAGCTTAGAAAAAATATTTATACAATATAAACTTCCTGAGGAAAGTTCGAAATGTATTTCGGTTCATTCGTAACTAACAATGAACAATCTTTCTGAAGAAAAACATACATTTTATTATTTTAATGCAAAAAGCGTTTATCTTCTCTAGCACGCTCTTTTGCAATTCGTTCTGATAAATTATGGGACAGATGTGAATAAAATACAAAACTTTAAAAGCCAACGAACCATTAATGATGTTAATGTTAATGTCTTATGTTCCGTAATTTGAAATTGGAAAAAAATGTAATTGAAATTAGGTCACATCATTTCTTTTGATACACTGTTATTTGTTCCACAAAATTACATGTACCTGTTTTAAGACATAAGGGAAATAAGCTATATCTAAAGAGTTTTGTTTTAGAAAATATGTAACTGGTAAATGTTATTTCCATAATTTTCGATTCTCAAAAAAGTGTGACATAAAATGTTATGTGTTACTTAAACACATGAATATTGTACGTTTATATGAATAAAATGTTCTGGAAAAAATATCATACTATTATTTTAATAAGGGTTTAAATTGTTAAGCTAAGAATTTGTACATGTACAACTCACGCTTAAGGACATTTAAAGAATATTTCATTTATACAGGTATTTTGGAATTATTCTTTTTCAAAACTCAAACAACACTTTCGAAAATTACAGAAAGAAATATTTATATATATATAGCTTGATGCATTTTGAACAAAACCAAAGATCTAGAAATGTTTTATTAAAAATCAAAACTTTAAAAGAACTTCATGTATGGCATGTACATATGTATTTTGTCTATTGTTAGGAAAACATTCGTCATCAAATATATTATCTTAAATTAAATGTTATCCAGTCATTACTTTTTCTTTAAGTTACATTTGTGCTTGATATCGACTTTCCGTTGCCGATTTTTGTATAACGCTGTTCGATTTCGCACCCTTCTGCTGCTAATATATAGAAATTATCAAACAAGAGAAATAATAAGAAAAATAATAATTACCAAGTTTTCAACGATTAAGTGTTTGCAATTGTATTATCGTTAAAATATTATCAGAAACCTTTCGGTCATTTTCCAAGTAATGAATTGTTTAAAATTTTTGATCATATGATTAAACCAATTTTATGCTATGGATCACAAATATGGGGTTTTGAATATAGCCAAGCTATTGAATATGTGCATAATGATTTTTGTCGAAAACATTTATCTGTTAAAAAAACTACAAATACAGCTATGGTTTTAGGGGAATGTGGTAGATTGCCCTTAAGTATTTCGTACATGACAAACTGCATACGATATTTTTGTAAACTTCTGACCATGCCTTCATCTAGATATCCTAAACAGTGTTATTTTATGTTGAAGTCACTAGACGATGTAGGTCGAATATGTTGGGTTACCAAAGTTAAACATGTACTGTTTAGATATGGTTTTGGTTTTGTCTGGATATCTCAAGAAATTGGTGACACGAATATGTTCCTTAAACTTTTCAAACAAAGACTTATTGATTGTTGTACTCAACAATGGTATGAAAATATAACGAATTCTAGTAGATGTTTTCACTATAATAAATTTAAATCACTTTTAAATGTTGAACGATACTTATTAATAGAAATACCATTTAAACATAAAAAGGCGTTTTGTAATTTTCGTTGCTCCAACCATAAATTAGGTATAGAAATAGGCAGACATAATAATATCCCAAGGGAAGAACGTCTGTGTACAACTTGTAATGATAGTATAGATTGTGAATTCCATGCTTTCTTTATATGTAAAAAATACAAACAAATCCGTGATAAGTATTTATTCAATTGGTATTTTGGCGGAAAAGAACTACATGATTTTTATGTATTAATAGGTACACGTGATATAATCACATTAAGGAAGCTTATGTTTTATGTATATGTTTTAATGGATAACATAAACAACTAGTCTTTTTACGCATTAATAAACATTGTTAAGGTGACGCAACCATATTACTATATTGTTGTATGTATGCTATGTATTTTGGGCCTGAGGCCTTTGAACACAAATAAAGTTATTTGAATCTTGAATCTTGTATTATGCTTTGGAAGGATCTTATTATATCTTTTGTTTAAAGATTTAGTAAATATATCACATTCACTTTATGTAATTCAGACAATGTTCATGTTTGAAAATGCAAATGTTATATACAGACGAAATAGTTGATATTACTTATCACATAAGAGGTCAGCTTCTCTGAAAAAGTTTACGTTGACTGGTGACATTATTTTACCGTCTTGTGTTTTATATTTAAATACATTATAAGGGTATCTGCGTTGTTTTGAAATCAATGATTAAAGTGTAAGATAAATTCCTTATATCTACAAATAACCTGGATTGAAGTGACACTTTCAAGTACAGTATAACACTGCAGAAAAAAACTTTGAAATTGCCGTTATTTATCAAATGAAATTCCTTTTTACATTCTTAATTTATTGGCAATACATCGTTTTAAAGCATCAAAACTGCCGCGCAAAAATAAAACAATGATATTATTTTAAAATGTTGCATACACAGTAATGTAGAAAGAAATGGAACTGCAAGATCGGTCAGACTGTGTCTTACCATTGTCGGAAATAGTTATTTCAAGCTACCGTATTGAACCGACTGCGACAGAATTTTAAGTGACCTTTCAACTTTGCATGAGTAGAATAAATGTAAAGTATTCCTTCTGCAATCTGCATATCATTGTTGTGCCCATAAACCTTCCATAAGCTATCTGTCAAACTTACATACATACAATTATTCAAAATCGTCAATCCTTTGGTTTAAATTTATAGCGACGAGTCGATTCAAACTCTCATAAACGTGAGCCACTTATCCTTGGAATCTTGAGTTTTGTAACATCATATTTACTTTTTGGCATTGTCAGTACATTGTTACCATTGTGCTAAAATGACGATATTTTACGCAAACATTTTACAAACTAGTAGAAGAGCTAATGTATATGCATAGTAAAAGGAAATACGTTATTGTCATTTATTACAATTGAGTGCGCATATGCCTTCATAACTAGGCTCAGTGGCCTAGAGCATTGTTCATCGCTATTTACGCGCATACAAGCGGGTGGTCACAAGTTCGAACACCTTCCAAGCTGTGAGACGAACTACATAATAATATATTTTCGAAATTATATTAAGTTGATGAGACAGAAATGGTGAAAAATAATGATGAATTATTCATGGGAATATGTCGTGATTAAGTCTCCAATTGAGATGAGTGCCACAGTGTTTATTTGTTAATGCTGTCTGTGTAGAATCAATGATAAATTCATTCCATTTCACATATTTTTTACAGCAAAACTTTCTTGTCTTGATTCAAAATTACTTCTTCTCTTTACAAATGTCAGAAATGTTTTCTCCCTGCGCAATGCCTTTACACACTAGACCGCCTTTCTCGTGTAACAATAACGCCGGCCAAACAACAAATTTAATCATTTCCCCACTTTTAGTATATTCTTTGTACATGTTCTTATCGAAGTCGGTAGATCCATTACCATCAATCTGGTGGAAACACATTGCTGGAGATTGAATGACCATCATCCAACACAGAAACAAGCATTTCCGTATAAAAGGTTCCAGTTCTGGGATGAATATTCCATCTACCCAACTTGCTGTCATATAAGCCTGAAAATAAAGGTAATTTTCAATATTACTTTAATTTAATCTTAAGAACTTCTGATGTCAAAAGTTGTATTTTTATGCTAAATATGTATCATATTTTTATTGTTATTTTTAAATAAAAAGACACATAGCGAGATCAAAATATCTAAAACATCTGTAATATTCTTTAGAATTGAAAAAAATGATCTTTATATATCTGTTAGTAAGCACTTCATTATGAAGGTTCAAAAACATTACTACGAGGAAATAAAGTAATATTTTTCCTTCAACAGTTTGCTTCTAAATAATGGCTGTTCTTTTTATGGGATTTACATTCATTATCTATTCATGTTCTGGATAATCTTCCCAGTATATTTAAGCATCAAAAGCATCCTTATCATAAAAACTTCAACAATGCCTAGAGATAGCCTTCATATTAGTTTTGTTTCCTTGTTTTGTTCTCCGTAATCATTGACTCAAATACGTGAAGTGTTAATGGTATAGAATATCTCCAGCGCTAGGGGAGTTTCACATATGTTACACTTTTCATTATCTATCATTAGCAAATAGAAAAAAAACTATTTGTCTTTTGATCTTTTACTGCACCCTTATATCAATGGATTTCTGCTTCCTGGAACTTTGTTGCAGCTTTGTATCCACAACGATCAATTTAAAACATTCAAGAAAATTTTCGCAGCAAAGTCTTGAAATATATTTGCACACCATTAAAAACATGAACAAAAGATGTTTTAATTGCAGTACTACTTTTTCGAATTGTATTCTGTGAAACAATAGTCTTAGTATACCTCCTGGACAACTAGGGCCATGGATTCTGCTACGCCTTTCTGCAACAACTTTACATGGTCTAAAATATCATCTGGCTTTTTTATCTAAAGTGATAAATTTTATCATATATGAAAGGCATAAGAACGTAATGTTTTTTACTTAAACGAAAATATAAGTATAATTATACTTATGAGAATTTCAACATATAACAACTTTGTTTCAATTTGTAAGCTGGAAATAAAATTTTAGATTATGTTAATAAGTGAAAGTATACATACATATACACTTCAAGTTAAACTTGTATTATTTTGTAAAAGTCAATCAATATGCTAATTACCAACACATAGAATATCTTTGCAATAGTATAAAATTTAATTAATTTAATATCAAAGTGTCGAGTTCTTTTATAAGGAGCAGTATTTCAGGATTGTATTTGTCATTTAGTTCCCTGTAAGTGTTTAACCCTGTTGTGTGCTTCAATCTGTTGATGACAATCATATCTAAGGAATGTCAAAAAACGAATGTGGGGTGTTACTCTTCCGCACACCTACGCTTGTTTATGAAACAATGGTGAAGTCCTCTTTAAACAAATTAGGGTAACTTTCTGACTTGTCACCACCCCTTTTCCCTTGATTTATAGTCCACGTTTCCCTAATTCTGTATTTTTGTTATGAAACCTGATGTACATTTAGTGAAAATAATTTCTCTATGCCTACTATTTAGTTGACTTTATAGGAACTTTATATACAAATAATTACGCTTGTAATACTGTTATAGAAGGGAAATAATCAAAACATTAAACCTTCATTTGATTTCCGATAGCATTGTTTCTTTTTGGCGAATAATCTTGCCATCGTTTGAAAAGCATAACATCATTCTTAAACTTAGAAGGAAGCATCATACTGGAAACCTGTGAACAATTGATACAATATCAAAAGTGGATTTAACAAAATTTCAACAAAATTTAACAAAAGTCTTTATTTTCAATATTAAGATTCAGCTATACAAAATTTATGATTTTGGTAAATAAATAAATAAAATGCTCATCAAATTGGAATGTTTCAAGATTTAGTTGTACTCAAAAAATGATATACATGCTGATGTCCATTTCTCAGAAGTGATGTTTATACAAGATTTGATAAAAGGTAAAGTCTATACTATCAATTGTCGTCAATTGGTATTCCTGGTCAAGTCAAAGGTATCCAACACAGATTTGTAAATAATGTAATGTTAAAATAGCATAATTTAGTATGTATTAAATTAACCAATACTTTATTCTTACCCTCTTAACTGGCATTGACATATGCGGGGCTCTCTGAAACAACATTAATGTAAACATGTGACATCTACAAAATGTAAATGCTTATGAGGTTATCAACGATCAGTTATGAACTGTTTGCTGTTCAGTCAGTATTTGTTTTGACATTTTCCCTAATAACGCAAGTGGTCTTGTCTAGAAAAAGAATAAGTCCATTGACGAATTGTAGGGTTTTAGAGTTTAATCAAGTCCGTAAATAACTAAGCAGATACAAATATTAAAAAGAAGAGATACTGGTAACGGGATAAGCAAAATCTCTCATAACCAATAACATTGGCTTAATTGAACTGTAATAAATTTTTGACACTGACAATATTATAATAATTGATCATGAAGTTCCAGATAAACACAAGGTGCTATCAATGGAAATTGCCAACTCGTCTAAAGAGCCTTCAGTCTGTATTGTGTAATTATATTTAAAATGTGGACGGATATACAGCATCAACCACGACTTTGCTCAGTACATGAATAAAACTCTTACATGTGTTTGTTGTAAAAGCCTATATTCTTCAAAAAGGAAGTTTACAGCATCTTCCGTCTTCAACAACATACATTCGGATTTACTTTTGCAAAAATCAAAAACGTTCTGAAATGAGATCTAAAAAGATTGTTTAAGAATGTTTTGATTGTCACTACATGTTTCTTAATTAACCAATTAAACTACGTTTTGATTTCAAAATTACTAAATATTTTTGACCTCTTTTTTAAGTCAGCTATACTTAAAAATCTAAGACGAAAATGGACGAATACATCCGAACCAGATTTAAATAAAACCAATGTTGATTTTTTTAGTTTTGAGAATATCGAAAGATTAAACATTCAAAGGAACTAACAGAAATTTTATCTGAACTAATAGGTTTTAATCACCGGGCCTCTTCCGAATTGCGAGTTCATATGTTAAGCTAAAGAATATAGGTCATTCCTTAAGTTCCGTTTAAAATAAGCTATAAAATAATGCAAACTTAATACAAAATTGAATATATATTTAAAGACACACTTTCGTCAAATCGCAAACAGCTTAAATCCTTACAATAAGAGTTAAATGTAGAGTTTCTATTGCAGTTTCGTCGGTACATTTGGCGGCTTGAAAAGCTTCAAAAGCATCTGTCCATTCATTGTCATAAATTTCACTGTATAGTTCACCAAGCTTCGTCGGTCGATTTCGATCGTTTAAATTCGCGATAGCCGGATTATCAACTACCAGTTTATCGCCAGCTATTTTGCTCAGTCTGAAATATATTTTAAAAAAAGTAAAATAATATTTGCGTATTAAAGATATACTATGTTCAAATTTTATATTAGAAAATATTGATCATTGCTTCACAGGTTATGTGTGTGCGTGCTTGCGTGCGCGTGTGTGTTGTTGTTGTTTTTTTGTGTTTTTTTTTTGTTTTTTGTCGTTGGTTTTTTTTTGTAATTTTAAAATAAGATGTTTGATTCCACACAAAAGTGGTCGTTCTACGAATGTATAGTGTCATTAACAAAACTGACAGGTTTTAATAAAAGATCAACTTTACTTGACCTGTTATAGGGAACGCAGTTTCCCATAAACAATTTATTCATTCTTTTATGCGAATTAGACATATTCAGTAAGAATTTCAAAGATTTCCAAACATTTATGTGATTAAAAGATTTCAAAAAATTTATGTGATTAAAATATTTTACTCAAGGAAAAAATGATTATCTTTAATGTATATAATTATACGAAATTATAATATAAAGCGCAATTAGTTAATAAGGGGGATTTATCCAGCATTTTAATACAATTACATTAGAATGTTCAGGTATTATTCCACGATACAAAAAAGATGAAAAAATAACTATCTCAGATATTGAATTTCTTTCTAGGTGCTTGTGTAAAACTATAGAAGTTCTTGAAGGCTATGAAAGTTGAGAAAGCGATGGAAATCAATGACTCGATTTTATCAAATTTAGTATATGACAGTCATAATAAATTAATACCGGCTACCACAAGTTTAAAAATATTCAGTCTTCAAACAGTGTGAGCTTTGTCTAAAAATAAGGATACCGAAAGGAAACATAATATCACTGAGATGATAAGTTTTATTTGTTTGTTTGTTTGTTTGTTTGCAAGTTTGTTTGTTTGTTTGTTTGTTTGTCTCTTTCTTTATATGAGTTTCACGGCACAGTGACAAAACAAACGGGCCATACTGCTCCAAACACTATAATTGTTATTATAGCATAAAATCGGCTATTTTTCCCTCTTTTGCCCATGTTATAACGGGACCAAAACCATGTGTTAACATAGTCACGCGCTCTTGTTATAGCCCAGTTTAACCTATGCGCAATACATACAGGGCCCAGTAAACAAACAAAAAAATGACAATTTGGCCTTGTTTGCAAAAGAGTCATGCGCTTTTCTTATATTGAAATTATTGATTCGAGGGCATCAATCGCATAGTAACGGCGAGCAGCATTCAAGTAACTATGCCGGAAATACGGCATATACAGTAGACATCGCCGCTAATCTTAGCTGTTGCCCTTTCTAAGAAACGGACCGTTGTCAATGTAAACAAACCCTCCGAGTAACTTACAAAACAAGATAACACAAAACGAATACACAATGTATGAGAAAATGTTGTTTTATTGATGTTTATATTGATAAATGTTCTTTATATTTCTCTGAGAGAAAAATGTATAGTGCCTGATTTTTTTTATAAACTTGTGTGCTTGAAAAAAAAAGACTGATGTCACGTACTGTTCTTTTTTCTACCGTCAATCAGAAATAATTCTAGGAATTTCTGACGGTCATGTTTTGTCTTGTGTAGAGTGATTCAATGTGTATTTTTTCTTAAGTTAATAAATTCCCAATGTTAAGCTTTGTTAAATCAATTAAAATTCGAAATTTCGTTCGATTCTGGGCATTTGTATTTCCAAAGATGTTGGCCCCGGAAAAATAAAACGCATATGTAAAACATGTAGAATTGGATAAATACCGTCCAAGCACAAGGATTTAATGTATGTGTTTTGTATTTAATCGACATCGTGAATCTGTTTTAAAATTTTATGCTATAATAGCGTCAACGCACGTTTATTTCGTGTTATAAAGTCTGCAGAGTCCCTCGGAACTGTTGGAGCCCTCGCCCTACCGGGTTCGGGCACCAACCGTTCCTCGGGACTCTGCGGACGTTATAACACGGAAAAACGTGTGCTAACCCTATATAAAAGGGTTAGTACAAGGCTATAAAATGAGTTAGTTAAATCCTAGAATACAGGAATATTTCTTTTAAGTTGTCGATCAATGTTCTGGAAGGTACACTGAAAGTGAATAAACTGGTAATATCTATAACGAACTTGTTCAAGACAATTGCATTAAAAGAGAAAATATTTGACAGTGAAATTTTCATTGCAACCTATAAAAAAAGGACATAACAGTATACATTCTGATTATGATTGTAAATTAATAAAATTGTTAATAACTCAATTAGTAGCTATCAAGTATGCCTGTAAAAGGTTAAAACTTGTAAATTGGATATTAAGATTTCTAATAACCACACCTACCGCAACAATAACTCTTCTTTCTCTTCTCTAAGGGACCGTATCTGTGAAGTATACTCTGAATTTTCCGACTGAAGTTGTTGAATTATTTTATTGCTGTCTGATAACTCAGATGTTAGTTTCTTGCTTTTCTGTTGAAGAATCTCGTTTTGTTTCAATACTGCTTGCAACACGTCTTCGTTTGAATCTCCGTCATTCTAAATTGCGTTAAATTTGATAATTATAAAGCATTTGCTTAATTAAATACTTCTTAAGATGATCAGAGATAACAGAATAATATTTTAATTAAACAATATTAAGGATGGAATACTTGTACATGTATAAGAGCTGCTTTGAAATGTCATGGGAAATGGAACGAACAAAACAAATTGCACCGGGATTTTGAATATAAATTATCACGATCAATACAGTAAATCAACATGTGTGTACATATATTTATTTCTATAGTTGCTTAAAGTGGATCGGTGCACACTGGGCAAATGCTCCACAAGTTTTTAAACGATTAATTAATTGCAATATATAGAGGATATTTGTTTGTTTTATGTGCAAGATGAAATTTTATTTCATCGAGTGTGCTTCAATAACAGTATGTTCACGTGCAACGACGAAAATTCCGATCTTTGACAGATATCATTAATACAAACGCACATCTTAACAAATGATTAGTTATTGTACTTGCGTTCATTGAACGCCGCCTTTTCTTGTTGATCTTGTTTATCATATTTTTGACAGTATAACATGTTATAAACCTATAAGCTTAGACCATACCTTACTATGTTGTATTTGCTGATTTATATTGTGCAGATCTTTTTCAGTGTCAGACATCATTTTATAGAGTTGACGTTGAGTCTCTTCAGAATTGTTTCCGCGCAATGTACGGACACTTGTTTGCAATACTGTAAGATGATTGTCTATACTTTCGATGATGTCATCAGTTTGACCGGATCTTTTCGGTTGTCTAATAGACGATGGTGGTGGTGGCCTACAGGGTGGTTTTCTGGTAGACCCACTGGTTTGGGGCCTGTAGGCTTGTCCGTCATTATGAAATGTAGATCTGTTTTCCGAATGATTATTCCCAGATAGAAAATTTCCCCTGTAATGCAATTCTATATTACATGATTTTGTTTATAATATTTAGCTTTCCTGCTTTCAATATTTTACCTATCCCGTTATACTCCCTCATATTTCAGCTTTATCTCGTCATATATATATATATATATATATATATACATATATACACACACAATTCAAATTGAATTTATCTAATATCTAATACACTCTTCTATCCATCGCTTCATTTATTCATCCATTCATTCATTCATCCATACATTCATTCACACATTTAATCAATCAACCATTAATTCGTTTATTTATTTATTCATTAATATATTTATCTTATCTGTCATTTCATTTTTTTTATTCATTATTCATTAATTTATCTATTCATTTATTTATCTATTTTATTTACCTATTATTTATTTATGTATTTATCCATTTTATACATCTATGTATCGATTCATCCATTCATTTATTCATTCATTCATTCATCTTATTATAATTCTTTTCATTTAATTGTTTACATACAAATGTATATATTTGTTGTTGCTATTTTTTTCTTTCTTATATTTTTTTTTTGTATTTATCTGTTGTTTTTTCTATATATTTAATCATTTATTCATTCAGTGTTTTATTTATCTATTAATTCATTGATTTATTTTTATATCTTTTTATTACTTCGATTCATTCCTTCATTTATTCATTCATTCGTTCGTTCGTTCGTTCTTCATTCAATCATTCATTCATTCATTCATTTTTTGGGAAGGATGATGGGTAAAGGTATCATTATGTTGACTCAAGCATATTATTTCAGTTTGTAATTATTTCCTGTCACTATACATTTTCATTCACTCATTTCAGCCGTAGACACTATTCCCACTATGACAAAAATCACTTTTTCGTAATTAAACTAATCTTGCTTTAATATTTTAACATAAAATCAGTTGGCCTGTATACGCCACCTTACTTTACGATATATATACTTTATTCTAATAATAGAAACAAATCAATATTAACAGAAGGAAATCGAAAGTACATTAACAGTAATTATCAACCTTTTTTAGATAAAAATCGATCTTCATAGAGTCTAAAACATTTAAACCAGTATATTTATAAGATAAAATGTCTTGAAAAAATGTTTAGTACGAGTTAAAGACTTATCTTTTTTTAGAGCGTAAATACCGAAATCGAAGCTTTAGTATGATTTTATTCCATGTTTTATACCATGTTAATTAACCTACCGATATATATACATTTCTATCAAGAATCTAAAATATTACTTACATATTCTTTACCTAGCTATAACTTAAATAAACATCCATGGATTGTAAATCAGTACTTCTTGTAAAATAGTTTACTTCCTTGTAAGGAACGTCCGTGTTACCGTTTTCATTAGTGTTATCTCTAAACACAATAACAAACCACACTTGACTTAAATCACATGTTGTCCGTGAGAATATTATATATTGTAATATAAAATGCAATGTATTGTTTCAACTTGGAGATAACTTATCTGATATCATCAGAATTACTACGTTAGTTATTGTTTAAAAAAGTTAAGTTACCTCCCTTAGCTTTATAATGTTAAATAATATATAATATATTTTAAAATGAAGTATACCTATATACGTAAACTACCTATTTCGTGAACCATAAATTAAACAAGAGCATGGTTGACAAAATAACAAAGGAATTAAATGCAATGAGTATACAAATTAGTCAGCAAATGGTAAATTTGAGGTTAGGAGGAAAAGTAAATTTTACAGGAATTTTCTTTGGCCTATATGAAGTCGTAAATTATATACCGTTACAAATTTGATAACTAATCACTATAATACTGCACGTTTGTAACGTCGCTTTTAATTGGATAAAATGACGTTTATATATGTATAGTTTTGTAAACACGGTTGCTGTCAATTTTTGAGGAAATCTCTTTTTTTCTCATTTTTGTCTCTGCTGTATTATAAATTTGTTATAAAGATTTTTGACAGGTTATATGACCCTATATAATATTTAATGGTAGAGTTGGCAATAATAAAGGAATAGGTAAATACACTTTCACTCGAAGCAGGGATTCCAGTCTTGTAGATTATGAAATTAGTACACAAAATATGTTTGAATATATTGAAAGTTTTGACGTGTCCGATCCAAATATTTTATCGGATCATTGTATCGTCTCTTTTTCTTTTGTATTAGATAAACCATGTATTAATGATAGAGATAATGAGTATGATAATGTAAAATATAAGTATGTATGGTCTTATGATATGAAAGATAATTTTATAGAGGGTTTGTCAACAAATTGTATGTTAGAGAAATTGAATATTTTTTCTGAACAGGTGCATCTTGCCGAAAATAAGCAGGATATCGACGAATGTATCAGTCATTTTTCTAATTTAATTGAAGATGTTGCGTCCCCTTTATTTAGGAAGCAAATGAATGACCAATTACATAATGAGATCTTTCCTGATAAAAATAACACTAACAAATGGTTCAATGAAGCATGTTTCGAAAAGAGAGCTGTTTTTATCAAATGCTGTATATTCATAGACAGAGGTCCGATTATAAAACATGTATCAGAAAAAGGAGATTTTAATTTGATCAAATGGAATCTTTTAAACTTGTTCAAGCTAGACATAATAATGCAAAACAATATTGGAATATGTTAAAACAAAGTGCTGGCATTAAAAAATCAAATGTACACACAGACATTTTTGCACAATATTTTAAAGCTGTTAATAATCCTCAAAGTCATTTTTACACACCAGACGAAGATGTTGTATATTTAACGATATGAAAATAACGAATTTAGAGTTATGTTTGATCAACTGAATATCCCTATTATTGATTTTGAAATTTTCAAAGCTATCAAGCAATTGAAGACTGGTCCAAGTGACGGTCCAAATGCACTACAATTTTTTTTTATACACGGTAAAACACATTCATTTGCCATCTTTAGTATTATTATTCAATAAAATTTTCTTTTAGAGATATTTTCCGGAATGTTGGTCTGAGGGATACGTTATACCATTACATAAAAATTGTAGTGTGAACGAAGTTAGTAATTATAGAGGTATAACTTTACTCAGTGTCTTCAGTAAATTTTTACTCGTGTACTAAATAATAGGTTGAATAGTTGGGCTGAGATGTATGGTGTATATGTAGAAGCGCAAGCAGGCTTTAGGCAAAATATGGGAACAACGGATAATATTTTTGTTCTGCACGGCCTTATTTCTCACATGCTTAATCAGGGCCGACAACTCTTTTGTGATTTTATAGATTTTACTAAAGCGTTTGAGATAATTTATGGTATAAGTTAATAAAACTGGAACTACGTGGAAACATTCTAAATATTATAAAATCTATGTACACAGCAGTTAAAGCAAGGGTAAAATATTGAAATAGATAAAGTGACCCATACGAATGTTTACTTGGTGTAAAGCAATGAGAGTGTTTATCTCCCTTTCTCTTTTCCATGTGTCTGAATGACCTTGAAGATGAATTTATAAAAAGTGATATTAAAGGTATTGCTGTTGGTATGTTTAAATGTTCTTATATGCTGATGATATTGTTATTTTTGCAAAAAGTAAAGACGAACTACAAAAAGGTTTAAATGTTTTATCAGATTATTGTGATATATGGAAACTTTCGGTGAACAAATCTAAGACGAAAAAATAATGATATTTAGAAAGGGATATTGCCTAGAAATATGAATTTTTATTACAAAGAAAATTGTATGGATATAGTTAGCAAATTTACGTATTTAGGGATTGTTTTCACATCAGGGGGAACCTTTGCAGAAGCTCAATATACCATTCCTGGAAAAGCGTTGAAAGCAACATTTAAAATGAACAAATACCTATATAAGTTTGTTAATATTTCTACTTTACACAGATTTGATCTTCTTGATAAACTAGTTACTATACTCAATTATAGCAGCGAAGTCTAGGGTTTTATACATGGCAATGCAATTGAAAGAGTACACATGCAATTTTTTAAACGGCGTTAAAAAACAACTCAGAATGATTTTATATATGGTGAACTCGGTAGAATATCGTTCAAGACAATGCGATACTAAAACGTTATTAGAAACTGGGTTAAAATATTACATACAAATGAGAATAAGTTTGTCAACAACGTTTATAATTTATTAAAAAATGATTGTGAAAATTACCAAAATTAAACAAATTGGTGTGAAGACTCTTTTATGTACATTAGGTTTTTATGATGCTTGGTTCATGCAAAGTGTTGGTAATACTGACCTGTTTTTATATTATGTGAAACTACGTTTGAAAGACCAATTTGTACAAAACCGGTCAAGGAGATTAGATAACTCCAGATCAGCTCTATTTCATAGACATATTTCTGTTTTTCAGTTTCAACCATATCTAAATATTATCAATGTTGAACGGTTTTGTAAGGATCTCACTAGGTTAAGAGTATCATAGACTAAAACATATAGTACAACTTTAATGATAGAAAATGTTTTTCATGTAATGTCTTAGAAGACGAATACCATTTCATATTAGAATGCAATGTATATTATGATATAAGAAAAAGTCTGATACCGCCATATTACTTGATAAAGCTCTTCACTGTTGACTGCCCAACTTCAAAGTTTCATTTTTTCTTCCAAAACAAAATGGATGTCCATTTTAAAATGGATGTCCCATTTTAAAAATATACTAGATTGTGGGTTAAAATAATGTTAACTTTTTAATAACAAAGCATATGATGGTGCAATGTTAAACAGACTGTTATGAAAAAAACATTTCAACATTTTTTAATCATTTGATGTGATTGTGACGCGTTTAAAAGTGCTTTGTGCACGTGGTCCCCAAATTAATTAAATGGGAAATTAAAGGACAACACTTATATATCTGTGGTTTATGAACTCTGCATACCATAGACACAGACTTAAAACTGACGGGCGAGTATACATTACTTATATAGGAATATTGGAACCTCCAGTCGAAACAAATGATATTTTTTTTGTTTGCAAATAGCGTATTTGTATAATATTTAATCTACAGAACGAAAATTGTCCGTTGATGTATATCTATTGTTATCTAAACAATATGTGTTCACATTTGTCTGTAAAGTGCAAAATATGTGGATATTGTCGGAATATAATGTTAGCTTTTTCTTCGCATGATATGCATGTACTCATGAGGAAAAAGGAATAGGAAAAAAACTGTTGTGACACGTCCATTTCCTTAATTAAAATGTGAATAAAACATTGCACTCATTAATTATTTTGTAATCAGTTATTGTATTCATTTTTCAAAATTAATCAAAATTCGAGTAAATGTCATCAGATGTTTTTGTATGTTATGTTTTAAAAATTTACGCGGCATCATGAATTCGCGACGCAGCCGATTCGCGAATAATATCGAAAATTAAAACATCGCGAAAAATACCAGATTTACATTAACAAAAATCTAAATCTTATTGTAAGGAAACGATACAATCCATCTAAGGAAACATATTGGTTTATGTTTCATTTTGTTTTATCTTTTTAATTTCTAACATACAAAAAAAATATTATTGGTACTAAAATACGTTTTTCTTATTTCAACGGATCTTCAAACGCATCTCAACAGTCAATGAAAATAACAATAAATATTGAAGATATTATATATTTTTGTTTAGGGTAATGTCATGAACGTCCCTGTATGGGACTGCTAACTTGAATTCTAAGTAAAGAAAACTATAAAGTGTATATGTATGTTGTTGTTTTATTGCATACAATGATATTTTTGTGTACGTTTTTATCATTTTTTCGTTACATTACGACAATTAAAGCATTTCTGTATAAAATATGAAAATAATTATAAACATGGTAGTGTGACAGTCAATGAAACAACCAAAACTCACAGGACCGCGGGCAAGGAGCCTAGTTCGACACCGATAGCTATATTTATCGAGAAATAGAATCCCGAAGATCCAAAGCAAAACTCAAAGGCACAATGCGCCTCATCGAGGTATGGTGCAAATTTAAAGCTACAGTCACTAACATCCCGGCAGAGCCCCGGTAGACGTCCGGGGTGATGCGGGAACGACCGTGGTACGACCGGGAACAACCGGAGTACATCCGTAACTCTACCGGCAACGTCCGGGATGATCCGGGAACATCCGGCTTCGACCCCGGATGGAATTAAATATTTAATATCACCGGGGTGGTCCGGGATAATCCGGGAAGTATAGCTTTGCCGGCTTCATCCTTAGCTCTACCTGGAACGACCAGGTTTACACCGGGGAATCACCGTAGCCATGCCGGCAGAAACCTGAGATGATCAGGGGCATTATAAAGCCGGTAGAGCTACGGTAGAGCCCCGGTGAATGCTGTCAGAGCCACGGTGAAGGCCGGAAGAGCCCCGGTGAATGCCAGTAGAGCCCCGGTGAATGCCGGCAGAGCCCCGGAGGATCCCAGCAGAGCCCCGGAAGATGACGATGGAGCTACGGTTGATCCCGGTAGAGTCCAAGCAAAGCCCGGTTCATTTCAAAAGAATCACGACAATTTGC